ACATTAATATTCTACCCTTAGTAGATTTGACATGTACCCTTATAAAATGGTCTGACCCATTACCCTCCCTCCACCCATCCTCCTTTTTTTTTAAGACAGAGTCTCTACTTTGTTACCCTTAGTAGAGTGCTGTAGCATCATAGCTCACAGCAACTCTTAAGCTAAAGCAATTGTCTTGCCTCAGCCTCCCAAGTAACTGGGACTATAGGCATCTGCCACAACACCTGGCTGTTTTTTTGTTATAGTTATCATTATTGTTTAGCAGGCCCGGGCCGGGCTCGAACCCACCAGCTTCTGTGTATGTGCCTGGCACCCTACCCACTGAGCTACGGGTGCCAAGCCAAGAAAATAATTCTTAAAGCCTGATTTTCATCTGTTATGCTCTCTTTCGTAGGTAGAAAAAAAGGTATTTTGTATTTTCTTTTCTATTTTGTTTTTCAGTATCCGTGACATTGTCTCGAGGCCATGTTGTTGAACTTCATTTTATTTTTCAAATTACTGCCCTTTGCAACGAAAACCCTATAAAATGTTGCCTAAGAGTCTTTGATATTTTATGACTTCTAAAAAAACCATGATGCTTTGCCATCACCAAAATGCAAGTTTGATTATGTTCCCTTCACCACTTAGAATGTTGTAATTTTTCTCCTCAGAAAACACAGATGGTTAAAGTGAATTTTCTGTAATGTTTTCTCAGCACAGTGAAACTTCTGTGCACACTTTTCCGGGGAGCCACCGCACACAGAAGACCCAAAAGCTAATCTAACAAGTTTTTTAAAAAATGTTACTGTGATGGAAGCTGGCTGTAGTTACCAATGCTTTTACGTCTTTAAGTTAGATTTTGTCACTTTAGAAAATTGTTTGGGCTGTTTGAATTAACCAGTTATTTTGATCTTACGTAATTTAAATTTTTTTATTTGTATGTATTCATGGACTACAAGTGCAGTTTTGCTATATTGATTTATGCATTGTGGTGAAATCAGTCCATCCATCACAGGAACAATGAACATTGTACCCACCACACATCCTCCCAGCAGCCACTGTCCCCAGCACCCCCAGTTCTTCTAGTCGTCATCTTTATGTGTCTGAGTTGTTTGATTAAGACCATGGCCTCCAGTTCCATCCATGTTACTGCAGAAGACATGAGTCCATTCCTTTGAAGGGCTGAATAGCATTCAAAAGACCCAAAAAAGTCAGTAGTGCGTTTTCTTTCATGCTGTTGCCCACAAAGGACAGATATTCTTTATTTTGTATCATATTCCAGCCTCTCAGCCTTCCTTTAGTACAGCATTTTATCAGCTGTTCTGCAGAACTCCAGTGCTGTTAGGAAACACATTCTGCCAAAACAGGATTGGGTGATTAAATGGCTTAGGAAAAAGTGGTTGAACAAAATAAAACAAGTTTCTTTACCACTAGACTTAAAACCTTAATATACGAATGTGCATGGTGTCTAATACACAGGTAGATGGTTGTGGAGTGTAGGTATTATGGAAGGAAGGGGAAGGTTGACAGACCCACTTTATAAATGATGCCTAAAGCCATCAGTGATGACAGCTTTTAATGACGTGGTTAAAAGAAACTCCTATCTTTGAACGTGAGGAAGGATGACATGCATAAATGTAAGCTTACAGTGAAATCCATCAATTACTGCTTTGTAATTAGGTGTTTATCACGGGCAGGACCTCTCTATTGTTGTGCAAAGCAGCTCTTCATGCCTCTGTCAGGGGCAGGCACAGATCTTAGGTCAGGTCCACAGTGCCTTTCACGTGCTCCTTACCTCCATGGGTCACATCCACCAAGAAGCAATTTAGGTGGGTGGCATCTACGCACCTGTAATGAATGAGGTCATTGAGGTACTAGTTGAAAACATGAAGATGAGGGAATGTTAACCCTTGAACTGTCGCCCTTTCAAGACCTTAAAAGTAGGAATTAAAATGGTTTCTTTTCATTCTGTTGTAGGAGAAAATGCAGGACAAACACCCATGAACATCAACCCCCAGCAGACCCGCTTCCCTGATTTCCTTGACTGTCTTCCGGGAACAAACGTTGACCTAGGAACTTTGGAATCTGAAGATCTGATCCCGCTCTTCAATGATGTAGAGTCTGCTCTGAGCAAAAGCGAGCCCTTTCTAACCTGGCTGTAATCACTGCCGCTGTAACTCGGATGCAGCCATGAGCTTACATTTCCTGGGCCTCTTGGAAAAAGCAGTGGAGCAGAGCAGACCTGCAGGCGCACCCCTCTCTGCCCCCTTGACCTGTGCTCCCTCCTTCTCATGTTGCCAGTTTAATCATTGCCTGGTTTGGATTGACAGTAACTTAAGTTAAATGTAAATAAATATTCTATTTTCATTTTCTGCAAGCCTGCATTCTTGTGACAGATTATGCAGAATTGACGATGCAGAATTCTTTTCTCTTTTTTTTATCCTCTGCCGCCCACGGCCACACTGTATGGGTGTTAGTAGAAATTGATACATCAATTGATTATAAGCCATAAAAAGTTGATCACAGGCAGTGAATTCTGACAGGTGGGTTGGTCCAGGAAATGTGTACAAAGCAAGACCTGATTTACAGTTTCAAAAACTGTGTTGATGATAGTAGTAAAAATGCTTTAAAAATTATTTAACTTCAGCTTTAAAAATCATTTTATAGATAGTGAAATTCTGCTGTATTGGAATCCAATGTAGTTTTGAATCCATGCTGGCTGTGATGGCTCTTATTACTCCACATCTACAAAGGCACACACAGTCCTCACTAGTTTATCCTTCCTCATTTGACTGCATAGCATCTAGACAACTGGGTCCTTCCAGCAGGAGGGGAGCGGCAGAATCAGCCAAAGTTTTCACACTACGGATCTTGTGACAGAGACCAGTTTGATACTAATTATGAGCGTTCTGTTCAAACCAATTGAAACTTGCAGTTTAAAAAAATTGTAGCTTGGAATTTGACGTTTGTTTTATAAAGCACTGCAGTTTTGTAGCTGATGCCAAAGGGCAGCCAGATGTTTTCGGTAAATCAGTGGCAACTGTATTTTTATTTTTTGAAACTATGCTATGAAAATATCAGGACGACAGAGATTTCAGCCTGACGGCGCACACGCAGTAAGCTGTTGCTTTTTAAATTCTGAAGCCTTGTCAGTTTTGCTTTTTTAAGATTTCAGTGTTTAAAATCTATGAAACTGTTTGCAGGATGAAGCAGATCTCTGACTGACGCGTTAAAAAAAATGCCCTCTGGGGGCATATAGTGGAGACATGTGTTTCTGAATTCAGTAAAATTGATTCCTAAGTGTGTTAATCCTAACCCTGTTTGCTACAGTTGGCATTAAAAGGCATGAAATATATTCAATACCTCTTAGGTAACCAAAAACATTTTTTTATTAGCTTCTAAGGACTGAGAGAGCATTATGTTCACGTGGCGTGCAGTCTGAGTGCATTGCCGATGAAGTCCTCAGCTGTTTAATATTTTGAACTGATATTATTTATATTCTATGAATTTAATCTCTTTTTTGAAAAACATTAATAATTCAGGTCTCTGAGAAGAAACTTTCCATTTCCATGGGGGGGTGCTTATCTGTTGAGGATCTTAACTATGATTCCTTTTGATCTCTGGTAATACAGGTGTACAGCGTACGTGTACACCTGTTTGATCATGTTGGAAAGAAGGCAAGTGACAAGGTCAGAGGTGAAGTAGTAAAGTCATGGAATAGAGTGGGAAGGATACAAGTTGTGAAGTGGGACTAGATTAGTTATTGTACCCCAAAAGCAAGACAAGCAGGAAATGTGAGAGGTGCCCCCAAAGTACAAAGCAACAATTTTCTCCTCCAACCTTCACACCAGAAGAGTTTGTTGTAGAAGAAAAGAAGGCTTTGGTGCACTTTACGTAGAAAGGGGAGGGCAGGGCTGCTGGTGGCCTGTCCACACGCATGCTAAGCATGTAGGCAAACAAGAGCATAACCCTACTGTTGCTTCCAACATACGAAGTTATTTCTTTCTCCTGAAGGACCCCTGGTTTATGTTCCCCTAATTCCTTTCACTCTCTGTATGCATCCTCGGAGAGACAAGGATAGATGTTTTTATTGTACTAAATTGAAGGGAGCACTATTTCTTTTTCTCTTTTGTTAGCAAAAAAATTGCAAAAAGAGTTGTACGTTCTTGCTAAGAAAAAAATAAACAAGGGACCTAACAAAACTCAGCAGTGTTACTGTATTTTTTAAAAATATTTTTATAGACTCATTTTGGGGTTATTACATGTAAAAGAAACAGATACCCCCCCTTTTTTTAATAGTTAAATCATTCATGGTTTATAGTGCCAATTTTTAGAAGTAATTTTCTAGTAAGCTTGTGGCATTAGAAAATATTAGAGGAATTTTTTTTAGCGAAATTAGTTGGAACCTGTATTAATAAATAAAATATTTTTCCAGAAAAACATACGGACCCTGACTATGTGTTTACTAATAGATGAAGCCAGATATAATTTCGTTGTTGTTATTGTTGTTTTTAAGGCCATAAAATATAGCCTTTATTTTTAAAAAAAACACTAAAGCTAGAGATCAAAGGTTAGACAACTTTTTAATGGCTGTTTCCTAGTATTGTAAGTGTTAAAACCCCTGCCGAATTCATGATAAGGTGCTATTTATACTATGTTTCTTATTATAAAACAAATGCCAGGATATCTGGTCTTTTTAGTCCTTAGTCAATAAATTTCATCATTTCACCCCACAATTTTGTCACAGAAAGAGTGACATTTGAAAGAGTGAAATTGGAAAATAATTTCGGAGATCTTTGTTTCAAAGTGTTTTTTTCCTGATAAAATACATTTTCTTCAAGTAAATACATCCTCAAAACCTAATTGTAATTCTGTTAAATCTAAGTAATTGTTAGACAGTGTTTCACCATAGTATTTAGGATATGAAATGCCATTTCTTTCACTATATAATGTATGGGAAGCAGGTAAGACAGAGTAAAAAATTTAGTGTGCTAGGGTGCTATAGAGCCCAACTTGATAAGACGAGATCTCTATAGAAGATGATGAGATGGAGTGAGAAAAGGATCCCAAGTTGTGTTCTTATGACATAAATAGAAAGTAAATCCTGAAAGTGTAACTTGTATGAAAAAAAAAAATAAGCTGGTAAGAAGAGAGGAAACTGTAAATTAATTTAATTGGGAAAATGGATGATTGATGGAGACCGTTTCCCTAACACACTACATCATTTATGTGCTAGAACGTTTTTTAAAAATTTACTTCTACATTTTGTAATATGAAATATGTCTGTTTATTTTTAATCGAGAATGTTATGCATATAGAAAGTATGCAGCCAAATCAATCAGATCAAACCATTTTACCTGGAGTTTGGTACTGGTTTTTATTTCTCTGATTCTGTATAAGAAAAATAAATACAATTGAATTTCCACTTGGAGCCTTTGTCTTTTTATTACTTGTCTGGTTCCTTTTACAGAGGGTTTTGGGTGGTACTGAAGAGAGGCTTATGTAACCCTTCTGGCAGACAATAAAAGGAAGACAATTCTGTAGGCAAACAATGTTTTGGCTCACATGCCTGGCCTTCAGCATTCTCAATGTCCTCAGAATTCTGTTTTCCACTTTATTAGAAGTAGCCCACTGAAAGTTTTAAAGGTATGTATTGTTTTTTAATTTCACACTGTCCTGCCAACACACTCATAGGATTCTCATTGTTGCCTCTTTTTAAAAATATGATGTGGCATCTTACAGCTCATCACTCATATCCGCCTAACCTAAAGTCGGGCTCTAACCCTAACCCTCACCCAAGGGCGCCAAAACCTCTTTGATGCCCAAGGCCACCAGACCCTAATTATGAACCACCCAAAGCCAGGCCCTAACCCTGACTCTCACCCAAGGACCCTTAACCCTCTTATGCCCTAGGCCCACATGAACCCAACTATCACCTGAAGCCAGGCCCTAACCCTAACCCTCACCCAAGGGCCCTGAATGCTCTTCATCCCTCAGGGCCACCTTACCCAACCATCACCCAAAGCTGAGCCCACTCACCCAAGGGCCTCAAACCCTCTGCAAACCTGGCCCACCTGATCCTAATTATCAACTGAAGCTGGGCCCTAACCCTAGCCCACACCCAAGGTCATTGAACCTTCTTCATCCCCCAGGTCTGCCTCAACCTAACCGTAACCTGAAGCTGAATCATGACCTTAACCATCTCCCAAAGGCCCTGAAGCTTCTGCATTTCCGGGCCTGCTTGACCCTAACCAACCTGAAACTGGGCCCTAACACTGGCCCTCACTCCAGGGCCCGAAACACTTCTCATCCCTCAGGCCTAAATGACTGCAACCATCACCCAAAGTTGGGCCCTAACCCTAGCCCTCACCCAAAGGCCCCCAATCCTCTTCAACCCCCAGGGCTGTCTGACACTATTTATTAACTGAAGCTGTGCACTAACCATAGCCCTTAACTAAGGGCCCTGAACCCTCTTCTCCTGCCTGCCCAACAATGATTATCACCTGAAGGTGGAACCCAACAATAGGCCTCACCCAAGGTTCCTGAACACTCAACATCCTTCAGGACCTCCTGACCCAAATGATCAGAATTAGGGCCCTAAACTTAGCCTTCACACTAGAGCCCTCAGCCCTCTTCAACCCACAGGTCCAAATGACCATAATTATCACCCAAAGCCGGGCCCTAACCCTGGCCCTCAACCAAGAGCCAAGAATCCCCTTTTCATTCCCCAGGCCTGCCTGAACCTAACTATCACCCAAAGCTGGGCCCCAACTCTAGCCCTAACCATAGAGTCCCAAACCATCTTTTTCCCCAAGGCCCACCTGACCCTAACCATCACAGGAACCCAGGCCCTAACTGTAGCCCTTACCCTAGGGCCCCCATCCCTCTTTGTCCCCCAGGACTGCCTAACCCTAATTATCACCTGAAGCTGGACCCCAACCATAGCCCTCATGCAAGGGCCCCAAACCCTCGTCAACCCATAGGACCACCTGACACTAATTATCAACTGAAGCTGGGCCCTCACCCAAGGGCCCCTAACTCTCTTCATCCCCCAGAGTTGCCTGACCCCAACAATTACCTGAAGCCATGCCCTAACCCTAGCCCTCACCCAAGGGGCCCAATCCCTCTTCAACCTTCAGGACTGCCTCACCCTAACCATCAATGAAAGGTGAGCCCTAACCCTAGCTCTCACCCTGGGCCCCAACCCTCCTCATGCCCCAGGCCCACCTGATATTAATTGTTACCAGAAGCTGGGTCCTAACCCTAGCCCTCACTCAAGGGCCCCCAGCCCTCTTCACCT